TATTGATAATAAAAGTGTTATTGACTTTTTTTTATTATTAAAAATTATCAAAAAAATTTATAAATAAAAATAAAGTGTAGTAATAACTTTTAAAGATACTTTATTAATTAAAAAGTCAAAAAATATTTAGTAAACTTATTTTTATATATTATCAAATATTTATTAAAAGAATTTTTTATAATAAAAATATTGCTTTGTTTTAAAAAATATAGTTGAAATATAATATATTTGATTTTAATATTGATAAAATTAATATTTAATTATTTTACAATTGTTAAGTTAATATTATTTAATGATAACTTAGAAAATATGCTAAATATAAAATCATATTGCAATATTAAAAATATTTTTTTTGTTATTAAATAACTATATGATATCACATGAACAATTGAAAACAAAGTGATTGGCTTGATTAAAAAACGTACGTATATAAATACTACTTAAAACTTTACATCATTTCTGTCAGATGGATGAATCAAGCTCTCATCAGATCGACCGAATACCTAAAGGCTTATTATCTTCGTCGCGTCCAATGCCTCGTCTTCCGACAGAATGTTTGTTGCATGTCTTCTCTTTTATCTCAGAAGATGATCTCGAGACGTTGCATTCTGCGATCTTGGTAAGTCGACAATGGTGCCAGAATATTATGCCCATTCTATGGAAAAGACCCTTCACTATAAAAGCGGAGAATCTATCATTATCGAGATTATCAAAGATCATACCTGTTTACCTTAAGTTGTTAAGCGAGGATATCGTATCTGTGGAATTCAAAGAGAGGTTTTTTTATTTTTTTAATGAGGAAATCAAGAAACCAATCTTCAATTATTCGTCATTCTTGCGCGAATTAGATATCAAGAAGTTATATGATGCAATTTCGGAATCTTCAGAGATTTTCATGACTGACAATAAATTGGACACCGAAATTGAATTGGCTAAATTGTCCTTCGCACAAACCGAAGAGAAAGAGGAACTTGAATGGACCATGGAAACAGTTTACTCTAATGAAACATATTGTGGACAACTTTATCTAGTAGAGGAATCAACCTACAATGGTCACGTTGAACATGAATCGACAAGAGAATCAGAAATAGGTTATGAAGAATATGATTATGAGTCACAATATGATAATGATAATAATCAATTTGCAATTATGGATGACTCGGATTATGATGAGATTGACCCATACATTGACGAGATAGCATTCTCTTCGCCCTTTGCAGGCCACAAGTT